CAACTCATTGAAGCTGCAGACGAAACTTCCCTATTAAAAAAAAATTCTTAACCAAATTAATCGATTTAAGTGTTTACTCATCCCTAATTAACTATATATACCATATATACTGATTAAATCAATGCTTAATCAACTCACCTCTGCTAAGAAAAATGAACCTTCATACTTGGTTGATGGGGGAGTCATATATACAAGCTCCAAGCCAAATTTAGTTGTCAAATTTGGAAGAGTTACTCAACGAAAGGCTTTCATTTTCGTGGCCAACTGCAACCCCATAGCCCACGTTGCTAAAATTCCCAAGGCAAACGACTTTCCTTAGCTCTGATTTAATCCAATCTGTTAAAGAAGCACTTAATATATATATTGAGAATTGAGATAATAAATCTCTTATTTTCTTTTCCTTTGATTGATACCATACTCCTAACCTTTTACATTTCTATTCTGATTTTAATTTTGACTTCCAATTTTTCCAATTACCAAGGCCTAATATTTGGCCAGTGTTTGGCCCTCCTGCAATGAGGATTTTGATTATATATTTGATTTAGGAAATTAAATGCCCATTTTCTTTCTCAAGTGCAGCGGCTGGTAATGTGTTTCTCCTCCCTTTTTGATCAAAATAATGGTTTATATGTCATTGAAAATTTTAGCCCAATGTCTGACAAAATGTCTTAGGGAAATTTCCCATCATAAATCTCTTTTTCCTTCTTGCCAGTTTATTCCATTCCCATGCTGGATGAATAGTCACCTAAAGACGGTAGTGGAGTAAAACAACACATGGGAGACAAAGATCTCCTCCTATACATCTCTACATATAAAAGCTTGATAATTTATTTCAACTGTGCCTAAAATCAGACGACTTAATAAAAAATTGTAATTAATTGAAATTATATCACATTACAGCAAATAATAATGTGATTCACGTTAAAAATTTTGTGGTTTTATACTTGCTTTCGTGAGAAAAAGAAAAATTACCGTCGGACAGTCGATGAGAAATTAATGAAATGTTTGCAAATTTAATTAAATAAATTAGTTTACCTTTATGTATAAATTATATTTAAAAAGTCACTATGTTCATCACGATTCATGGCTTAAGAAGGGGGAATGCACCTTTTACTTGGTAGATTCTAAATGAAGAATCATTTCTCACTTAGTCAAGAGTCAAACATGGGATCACAAGCATAGCAAACTACATTAGAACACAAATGGCTTATAAAAACCACTATAAATAAACTTGGAAAAAAATATGAGATTTTTTTCCGTATCGGTCAAAGTAAAATTATTTTTTTTATCTCGGTTTTAAGTAAAATTTTATTAAGTATCAAAAGTTGATATGTAGTCATAATTTTTACTGAATAAAATCAAATATAAACATGCAAACAATCATCAAATATCACTCAATTCTACCTCATTCAATCATCATATATAAAATATATTGATTTTATCCATTCCGAATTTAACAGGAGAATCTATAAAACTGTTAATTTTTTCGGAAGATAAAATTTGGTTTTCATTAATCCTTTTGAAACATTAGTATACATGATTAATTAAAGCATTATGCTTCTTAATCAATATAATTACAATGTGTTATATATTTCATTTAGTCGATACAATACCCTGCTTGTTCTGACAAAAGGTTTCATGTGACGAAGAACATGTAAAAATCGTTAACGTAAAAAAAGAATATAGCAAAGAAATCAAGCATAATTGCACATTCCGTAAACACAGAATTCGTCCCTTTTGCACTTCTTGTAGCAGCCACCGCAGTCTCTTTTGTCAAATGAAGCATTGACGCATTGCCCTTTGCAGCATATTTCACCATACTTGCACTTGTACCCACACATTCCACAGTTCATGCGATCTGTCTTCACGTTAACACATCTCTTCTTGCAGCAATCGGGTCCTGGGCTGTTCCTCAGACGACAGATACGAGGAAACTTGTCGCATGTCGCTTTGGCTTTGAGGTTCTGCTGAGCTAGGAAGCGGCTCAGCCCTCGTAACGAAGTTTGTTCTTCATAAAAGTCAGCTAGACTAGTTGCAGCAAGGATAGCAATTGTTGCTGAGAGTGTGAAGAAGATGGTCAGCAACTTCATTGCTGTGTTAATGAGGGGGAAAATATGAGGAGTCGGTGTTGGGGTTGGTTTATGGCAGGAGATGGGATTTTATAGACATGTTTGGAAGAGTTGTTGACATTGGGAAATTGAATGTACAAGTTTTGCTTTATGATGTGTGGTATTAATTCAATTGGCTGCTTGTAAATTACTGAATGTCTCTGAAATGAAATCAATTGATTGGATGTGAAGAAAGGATGCTTCTCCCATTGATTATGCATCTCCATTTCAAGTAAGATGGAAAACAGTTCATATAGTACCGAAGGTACCATTATTTAGTTAACCCATCAATGAATTTAGCCACTTGCTTTATCAAACTTTTAACCAAAGGAAGATGAAGAGAAGGGCATCCTTGAGGCCTATAATCAGGTCAAACATATTTAATTTCAACCCCCTACCATATCAGATTCAATTCATGGTTTTGAGCCTGGTGAGCCTCTGCCACCATTGGCAAATTCCAAGGCTTTTAACTTCAAAATCAACTTATTGAAAGCCAAGATTTACATGTTTGATCAGTTTCTTCACCTATTGCCAATTATGCTTAGACAAACTTGTTTGGAAAAAGAAGGGAAAAGAGAAAAGCAGGTGACAAATCTAGCTAGAAAAGCAAAAACCTGCTAAAGATGAGAACAATATCTTATTGTTTAATGCTATTAAAGCTAGACATGATTCGCCACTTTGGTAAGAAAAGCACATATTCTAGACAAGCCAATAGTACTTAAAAGAGAAATGTTTGTACCTCATAGATGTGAAACAAAGTTTCGATTAAGACTGAAAATCCCATATAGTTTATAATAGCACTGCAACTATTCTGTTAGTGGGGAGCAAAAGAAACTGTTTTCGTTGATTGCTGTTCCTATCACAATCCTAACAAGCAGCTGAGAAAAACAGTTTTCAGAAATTGATATTTATTGTCTTCCCACTGAATATATAAAGATCATGACCTTCTATTGCCTTGTATTTCTCAGTTTGATCTTTCCTTTGCCATCAATCTCTGCCCAAGTTTCTGTATGCAATGAGGAGTTCTCTTTCGCAACAATGGTTGGAAAAAACCAGGAGTGGCAAGTTGACAGAACTTTGTCAGATATGGAGCACCAGATACAAGCTGCTTCAGTTCAGAGCACGGAAACTGGAGTAAGAGCAGGCCTTAGACCATGGAAGGGTCAAAGCACCTGGCGTCACCGGCATCACCTAAAGAATGTATGTAAAATTACTGAATGTATATAGTGCTTTGTGGAGATTGTAATTAATCAAACAGGGCACGAAAATGATTTGCATGAGACTCTAACAGGCGCATGGCATTCTGAACATCTTGGGATGGGGGTTTCTATTGCCCACAGGAGCAATAATTGCCAGAAATTTCAGAAAATTTCCTTTGAAATGCGATGAATGGTACAATCTATACGCCCTGTGTCTAAGTTCTGGGTACATAGTTGGTACAGTTGGATGGGGCATCGGCCTATGGCTGGGGAATTCTTCAAAACAAAACAGTTTGAAGACACATCGCATTCTAGGAATCATCATATTCACATTTGCAACTCTACAAGTAAGTGCAGACCTCCTCCTTTCTTTCCGTTAATCAAGCAACAGATTCAGCTTAGATTTTCGTCTCACCAAAGCTTCTTGTTGTGGGTTCAGATGTTAGCCCTGTGGCTGCAACCAAAGGCAGAAGATGAATGTCGCAAGTGCTGGGAGATATGCCACCATCTTCTAGGGTATGCACTGATTGTTCTCAGCATAGCCAACATATTCCAAGGGATCAGCAATGTCAAAAGCCATGCTGCAGAGAAATGGAGGTGGATTTACGTTGGGATGCTCATTGTTTTAGCTTCAACCGCTGTAGCATTGGAAATTTACAGATGGATCAAGTCCAAAACTCCACAGCAGATGGCATTTGATGAGAACGAAATCTATGCTTCAGAACAAATCTAAGCTCTCATACGTGTATTCTTTGGCAAGAAACAAAGGGATTATGATCTTAGCCAACTTTAATCGTTTTTCAGTGACATTATTCAAAATATTTATGCTTTCAATAATGAGGGAGAACCCTTTGCTTAATTTTGTAAATTTATTCCATGCTTTAAGGAGTGTTAATACTAATTTAAAATTCGAAAGTCCATATAGTATTAATACTTAGAAATGTCAAAACTTAAATAATATTTAAGAATAAGTATTTGGTCAGTTTTATTTTGTAATATCGAAAATTAAAATAATTGAATTTTTGTAACAATAATTAAAACTAATTTAATTATAATAAATAATCGAAAACAATCGAAATCCGGTTTTTTCAATTGATTTAACTGGTTATTTCGATTTAAATGAGGATATTTTTTAGATATATTTTAAAAATATTAATAACATTCTTATAAATATATTTAAAATATATACTATTCATGTCCAACGCACCGTATTATCCCAAGCTTAAAACGCAACGTCTTGCCTAATGTTGACGCTGAACTGAGCAAAAGGAAAGAAAATGACAGCAAGGGAAACACGATCACAAGAAGCGCTGATGAACAATCCAGAAGAGTGCGAGGCCAACGACCCGCAACAACAAAAAGAACGAGAACCAGAGATGGCAGCCTCATCGGCGGCGATGGATGGGCTGGCAGAAGCGGCGCTGCGGTCTGTACTCCAGAGAGTCCACCAGGCTGCCGAACGGACGGGTCGGGAATCGCAGCGGATCCGCGTGGTTGCCGTCAGCAAGACGAAACCCGTCTCTATCCTTCGCCAAGTCTACGACGCTGGTCATCGCTGTTTCGGAGAAAACTACGTCCAAGAACTCGTTGAAAAAGCCCCTCAGGTTCCTTTTTTTTTTCCCAAAAGCATCGAATTTGTCAGTGTTTGTTGCATACAAGAAGTGATTGTCAGTTCATTCATTTAGAATGAAAAACACCAAAGTTAGAGACTTATTTGTTATTGACCGTTTGTGATTGTGCAATTACAGGTTCCGGATGACATAGAGTGGCATTTCATTGGGAATTTACAGAGCAATAAAGTGAAGCCTTTGATTGGTAAGAAAGATTCGTAGATGGAAATTCAATGCATACCCTTTTGTTCTAGGAACTAAAACAGTTGGAAGATTAGTACTACTTTCTTTGTGGATTAACAATGTTTTGTTGATTTGGGATTTGAATCGTGTTCACATCTTAGTTTATTAGTTTAAAAGCAGCCCCTTTTTTATGCATGTTGGAAAGAGAACTTCTACTTCACTTGGTTTTCCTTGTAGTTCTGGAGAGAAATGTGTGGAGTGTATTAACTTATCATTCATTGTTGTGCAGCTGGAGTGCCAAACCTTGCGATGGTGGAGACTGTAGATGATGAGAAGGTAAGTTAAGGAGTTATAAGCTACTCTGTTCCTACATATCAATAATCATTAAGGCATAACAATTGATTGATAATGTCGAGAACATTGGTCATAATGCAGTCAAATATTTGTGCTTTTTTTCATCACTCATCAGTCATCACTGAGCACCTTGCGTTTTCTTTTGTGCCAGATTGCAAATCATCTTAATCGTGTAGTTGGCAGCTTTGAAAGAAAGCCTTTGAAGGTCTTAGTCCAGGTGAATACTAGTGGAGAGGAATGTAAGTTTATTGTATCATGTTAGCATCAAATATAAAGTTGTAGTATTAAGGGTTGCATATTCAAACTTATTCCCATGACTTTGTTATCGAATTTACCAGGTAAAACTGGTTGTGTTTTTACAGCCTTCATTTCTATACTATGTTGTATATGTATGGTGCTAGAAATAGTAGAAAAAGACTCTTGATCATTGGAGATGAATATGCTGTGTGATTAGGTTGACTATATTTGCCAACAAGTATGTTGCTTTCCTGTAGTTTACTTCCTTCAGTTAGTGTGTTCTGAGATTATTGCTCTGCTTCATGTCATTGTAGCAAAATCTGGTGTTGAGCCTTCAGGTTGTGTGGAACTTGTGAAACATGTTAGTTTGAACTGCCTGAACCTTCAGTTTTGTGGATTGATGACAATTGGGATGCTTGATTATACATCAACCCCAGAGAACTTCAAGGTGGTTGCCCTTTCTATTTTGGTTTTATCTTTACTTCTTTTTGAGTGTTTCTTTATTTTTCTTACAAGACAATTTGATATTGGCAGACATTAGCAAATTGCAGAAGTGAGGTCTGCAAGGCACTTGGAATACCTGAAGAGCAATGTGAACTATCAATGGGCATGTCTGGTGACTTTGAGCAAGCTGTAAGGATTATTTTCATATGACTATCTAGCATTACATTCTTTTAAAATGGGTAGGAGAGACTGTTCATCTAATGGATTCTCTCATTGTTTTTGCAGATTGAGATGGGCAGTACCAATGTCAGAATTGGATCAACCATCTTTGGAGCGAGGGAATATCCAAAGAAAAAATGAAACTAGCTTACTAGTTGCATGACAAGCACGTTCCTTTGATCATCATTGCATTGTTATAGAAAGGGTTGTACTCAACTCGATCCTCAGGATGTTATTTTTTACACCGGGTTGATATGATTCAATCCCGGGCCTGTACGGTGGTTGTAACCATATATTGAAAATGAGAAAGTACACTGATCTTGGAAGCCATGGAACTTGTTTATTCCATCCAAATGATGCTAATAAAACTGTAATCAATTGATCTGAAATTCAATTCTTGTAGTTCAATTGAACATTTAAGCCTCTGGCTTGGTGTAGCGTTTACCTTACTAACATGATGAAACGGGTATAAACTATGAACTAGACATACAAGCTAAGAAGTAGTCTTTGTGAAACCTTCCCAAGATTCAACTCTGGGTGCCTTTCGAAAAGATAGGATGAGTGATGAACAAAATAAGATCCGTTCCTACCAGCAGCACTAAATCCTTCAATTCCATCATCAACAACCTCTCGTCAGAAGGCTCCTACCGTGAAGTCCTCGTCACCTACACGTTCATGCTCAACTCTAGCACTCCTGATTCCTTCACATTCCCCAGCCTCCTCAAAGCGTGCACTTCTCTAAACCTCTTCTCCCTTGGCCTTTCCATACACCAACACGTTATACTTCGTGGGTTTTCTTCAGATTCTTACACTGCATCCTCTTTGATCAATTTTTACTCAAAATTCGGTCACACGAAAAACGCTCGCAAGGTTTTTGATAAAACGCTAAACAGAGATGTCGTTCCCTGGACTGCCATCATTGGCTGCTATGGTCGTGGTGGTGACGTGGGCAATGCCTTTTCTATGTTTAATGAAATGCGATACAATGGGGTTGAGCCAAGTCCGGTTACTTTCTTAAGCTTGCTGTCTGGAGCATTGGAGGTAGCACACGCGCAGGCTTTGCATGGATGTGCGGTTTTATATGGCTTTGAGTCCGATTTAGCTGTGGGAAATTCGTTGTTAAATGCGTATAGTAAATGTGGGAGCATTGGGGAAGCGAGAGGTTTGTTTGAATTGATGGACCAAAAAGATAAAATTTCATGGAATTCTTTGATTTCGGGTTATGCTCAGTTAGGGAATGTTGAAGAAATTTTGCAACTTTTATATGCAATGAAGATAGAAAATATGGGGCCTGATCGGCAAACTTTTGGTTCTTTGGTTACTGCTGTTGCAGCACAGAGTAAGCTTGATATAGGAAGGATGGTGCATGGGCAGGTTTTAAGAGGTGGGTTTGATTCAGATGTGCATATTGAAACAGCACTTATGATTATGTATTTAAAATGTGGGAAAACGGATGCTGCATATCAGATTTTTGAAGGGCTATCACAAAAAGACGTGGTTGTATGGACAGCAATGATCTCTGGCCTCGCGCAAAATAATTGTGCAGACAAGGCACTGACTGTTTTCTATCAGATGATGAGGTCCAGGGTAGAGCCATCTACTGCCACCCTGACTAGTGCTCTTGCTGCATGTGCACAGTTGGGTTCCTTTGATTTAGGGACCTCCATCCATGCTTACATTTTAAGGCATGGATTGACAATAGACACTCCAGTCCAAAACTCTCTGGTTACGATGTATGCCAAGTGTGGTCATTTGGAGCGAAGTTGTGCAGTTTTTGAGAGGATGGATGAAAGGGATTTGGTTTCTTGGAACGCAATAATTTCTGGATGTGCCCAAAATGACCATTTATCAAAGGCCTTGTTCTTCTTCAATAAAATGAGGTTAACCCTTCGAAAACCTGATTCATTAACTGCTGTCACCCTGCTTCAAGCGTCGGCATCTACTGGGGCTCTCCATCGGGGAAAGTGGTTCCACAACTTTGTAATTAGAAGTTGTCTCAGGCCATGCATCTTGGTGGATACAGCTCTGGTGGACATGTACTGTAAATGTGGTGATTTAGACGCAGCTGTTAAGTGCTTTAGGGTGATGTCACGACGGGACTTAATCTCATGGAGCACAATCATTGCAGGATATGGTAGTCATGGCAAAGGGGAGATGGCTTTAAACATGTATTTTGAGTTTCTGCACTCTGGAATGGAACCAAATAAGGTGATTTTCCTTTCAGTTCTCTCTGCCTGCAGTCACAATGGGCTTGTTGATGATGGTCTGAGCATATTCCAGTCAATGGCTAGAGATTTTGGGATTCAACCAGAACTTGAGCATCGTGCTTGCATTGTTGATCTCCTTTGTCGAGCTGGAAGGGTGGAGGAAGCTTACAACTTCTACAAGGGGAACTTTTCAGAGCCCACTGTTGATGTTTTAAGCATACTCCTCGATGCCTCTCGAGCAAATGATAACCTGGAACTTGGTGATGTTATTGCCCAAGATGTCATCAGGTTGAGGCCTGCAAGTGCAGCAAACTATGTTCAGATAGCACACTGCTATGCTTCCATGAGTAGATGGAATGGCGTGGGGGAAGCATGGTCCCAAATGAGGTCTCTTGGCTTGAGAAAACTCCCAGGATGGAGTTTCATTGACCTACATGGTACAGTTACCTCATTTTTCTCTGGTCAAAATGCACATCCAAGACATGAAGAAATAGTTGCAACACTGAAAACTTTGAGTTGGGAAATGAGTGAAGTGTGCGTGAACTTCAAGATACATGAAATTCATGATATATTCTTAGAAACTCGCTAGTAGATGAATGGTCTTAATGAGAAAAATTGTCGAGTATTTTAAACATAAACTGTTGGCAAAGAGGTCTACAAAGAAGATGTTCCCTATTCTGCTTCCTTGCAATTAATCACGATATTCAATACTTCTGAGTGGATTCACTTGGTCAAAACTGAACAGCAACAAGATTCTCATACTTAGTTGTTCAACTTCTGTGAACAGGGAGAGAAGAGAGAGATGAAAATGATACTGGAACACAACAAACGCAGTGAAAATGGCAATGGTTAATGTGGATAACAGGACACATTATGAGACCCTACTGGCAGTGAAGTAAGGTTAGTATTTTTGGCTTTAATGCTTCTAAACACAAATAGGTATTTTCTTTATTTATTAAGGATCATAAATTTCAATTTCTACTGTTAAATTGAAGAACATTTTAGTGTTCGGTGTTCGGGTAGGAAGATCGAATTAATTTCCAAGGTTGGAATTTACTGATATAGTTCTGTATTCTAAAAAATTAATTGCAGCAATAATTTAGTCTGAAACATTCACACACGTATGAGCGCTAAGACTTTTTCCAGGATATATGATGAATCACATGTAATCCATTCCTTATTTGTTATACAAAATTGGATGTTGCAGTAACGGATTTGGAAAGTTTTCCATGTAGCAGATACCTAGAGTTGAAGATTGCTCATGGTCAGTAGTAGTCCTTTCATGGTGTGGTGGTGTCTTTGCATGATGAAAAATCTGTCCAGAATCCACTTTGTTGTCGACTTACCCTGGTTGATCTACTCAGAATATACAGCTATGACTGTTTTACCAGGTTTGGCCCTTCGAACTCTTGCTGGAACTTACCCCATTTTTATGTAAACAAGTCGACAACCAAATCTTTTCATCGACTTCCAAATAAGCTTGTCTTGTTTCTTAACTGGGCAGTTATTGCAACTTCTTTATCTGCATTTCCACCATTTTTGCATGATCTAGCAACAGTACGACTGCCACCTTCACAATCACCCCCCTCTTGCCTGCACATGCTGTTTCATGCACTTGTCATTCACTTAGACCTAAAGTACTTAATGCTTAGGTTAGGTACATATCATTGTCGCCATAGTTTCTCTTGGAACTCTTTGGTCTCTTTCTTGCATATCTATGGCAAAATTATAAACTCTGCCTGCTTCCATTAAATGATAATTTTTTTTTTTTTTAATGTCTGTCCTTCTCTAATTTTTCAGAAAATAAAATAAAAATTTATTTAACGACTTGAATAATGTTTGATTTTATTTGTTTTTATCATAATTTTTGGTGGAGTAGAATCATATCATGCCTTCCAATATTTCCAACCACAAAGTAATATTAAAACCTTGAGACAGAAAATACTCAATAAATTCTTCATTTAAGTTGTTTCAATCTTTCATTCAATTGGTAAAGGACAACTCATGAGTCCCCAACTGTCAACTTATTTTGACGCTGTACCGGGACAAATTCCCAAGCAGTGAGATAGAGACTTGAGACACGAGGCATGATGGGCGTCCAGGGTTGCCCAACACAGACCCAGCAAGCACTAATTTTGTCAAAACTCGGAAGAATCAGGAAACTTTCACCCTCCAGTGGCTCAACCCAAGGGAAACTTTCTTCCATTTTTGGATATTTTTCTTTAATGAGTACATACGGATCATTGTTATAATCCCAGAAATAAGTGATGAATTTCATAATTCATATTAGTTGTATATTAAAATACGATTGAATATTTAAATATTTATATTATATTCAATTTATGAGATATTTTTTTATTTTTTTATTAAATAAAATTGTAAAACTTAATTGATCAAGCAGGTAATATTTTGCAAGTTGATGTGTAGCGTGATAATCACCATGTGCCAAATGCACACTGTTTGCATCTTTAGGTGATAGGGAACCTTCTAGTAAAATACCATGCATGTGTGTGTGTGTGTGTGTGTATATATATATATATAAGTATACATGTCATATATTTTCATACAAAGATTTTCTGGCGCCGAAGGTAGAAATGGGGATCACTTGAGAACAGTTATTGCGTATCAGAACTCAGAAGTAGAATTTTGGGCCCAACCTCAGTAATTGCTTTGAGTCCTTGCTTTAACCAAAAGCCATTATTATAATAAGCAGGATGGAAGGAAAGGCCAATCCCTCTGCCACGTTCCCAGAATCACGTTTTTGTTTATTAATATTATGTTTCATTTGCATTTGCCTGATTCAGAGACCGGAGGGAAAGGAGAGGATGAGGAACACTTGTTTTATGTTCCTTCTCGGAACAGCGTTAGGGGTAGGGATCTTGGTTGGAGTTTGTAAAGCTCAGCTTGCTTATGATTACTACAAGTATTCATGTCCGAACGTGGAGAACGCTGTGAGAAAAGTTATGCTCGGGGTTGTCTTGACCGACCCCACTGCACCGGCTGCTTTCCTCAGGCTCTTGTTTCACGACTGCCAAGTTCAGGTATTTCATGTCTTCTTTCTTCTAGCAACCTAAAGAGCCTTGGTTTTAATGACTAATGGCAATCCACAGTTCTTTCTATCTACTCTGGGTCGAGAGGCTAGGATGTGCTACTGTGCTAGTCAACCTTGACCACAAAGCTTCTTTGCAGCCACTAGCTCACTTTTTCTATTATTGGTATATTTTCAGGGATGTGATGCATCAATCCTGCTGGATTCTGGAGCTCTAAGAGGCAACTCTGAAGTAGTTTCTGGAAGGAATTTTGGCATTAGAAAGCTGGAAACAATCGAGTATATAAAATATATACTCGAAGCAGTGTGTCCAGGGCAGGTCTCTTGTGCAGATATCATTGCCTTGGCAGCCAAGGAATCAGTTTCACTCTCGGGAGGACCCAATATTCAGATCCCTCTTGGAAGAAAGGACTCTACCACTTGTAGTCGCCAAGCAGCTGATACCCATCTTCCTTCGCCTGATATAACAGTCGATCAACTACTCAACATCTTCATGTCTAAAGGCTTAAACGTTGAGGAATCGGTTGCCATCATGGGTAATGAATCAGCCCGAGCTTCAGTGAAAGTTAGAAGGCTTTTCATTTTATGATCTCCATGATTGTGACTTTGCTACTGTTTTTCTTGCAGGAGGGCATACGGTAGGAGGTGGGCACTGCCTAAACATCGCGGGCAGATTATATGGTCGACATCCTGACAACCCGATAAATCCTGGCTTTGAAGCCTTGCTCAGATTATATTGCCCTACCAAAACTCCAGTAACCAACCTCACCATCGTGCCCAACGACAAGACTCCCTTGATCTTTGATAACCTCTATTTCAGAGATGTTTTAATGGGAAAGGGCCTCTTCACTGTTGATTCAAGCATTTCCAGGGATCCACGCACTGCACCCATAGTCAGACAGTTTGCTGCCAACGTTCACCATTTTTTCCAGGTGTTTTCTTCTGCATTCGTGAAGCTATCTTCCTCTAATGTCCTTACGAAGGAAAAGGGCCAAGTTAGAAGGGAATGCAACCGAGTGAACTAAGAAAACAAACGATAAACAGTGGCATTCAATCCCAAAATAAGTGTAAAGTTTTAAGTCATGCTAGAACATGACTAGCTAATATTTAGATAGGCCAAATACTGGTGCTGTTCCTTTGGAATATCTATAAACATTGTAATTATGGAGTTGTTACACTAAAAATGATTATAGAAGATGTCATAGAACTGTCAAACTTTTCCTAGCATGTGAACAGTCTGATCAATCACACTTCTCCAATCATTTAATAGGATTATGATACTACTCCAGCAATGGTGTATCCTACTCCTGCAATATCTCTGTTCTTCCAACTCTTTATCTTCTTAGTCAAACAGCATTATCTGAGTCATGATATTCTGTTTTGAACTAAAAACTATTCTGCGTATATGATAGTGTGGTATATCAGCAAAACTTTAGCAGGCAGTCTGCTTGCCACCCAAATTTCTTTTTAGAAGTGGATGAGCTCAGAGTATAGAGTTGTTCGAGAAATTGTGATTGCAGATCATGAGGAATTGCCTAATAATGCAGAGGCTTCGAAGGGGCCAACCACCCCTTCGCTCAAGAGGCGCATGGCAGCTCCTCGGGAGAACTTCCTTGCAAATAAAAAGCAGGGAACAGATGTAGAGTTAGTTTGACACCATTCTGTCCGGAATTCACTCTCATAGTACACATGGTTGATATCCTGTTCAATTAAGCAACACAATAAAGCATTAGTAGAAAGTGGGGACATAAACATGCAAAACAAAGGACCCAAAAGAGGAGCCCAATATGAAATAAGGTTTCATTCAGTAAATAAATCAATCTAGAGAGATTATAAGATCAATACATCATCAACGGCTAAGCAAACTTGAGAATCATAAAGATCAAAGCCTGACTAACAAGACTATTTAAAATTTTCTATCTTTTGCTGAAGTAAAAGAATTCATATGAAAATATATCAGGCCAATACATCCTATAACTTGTCCCAGGCCATGTAAAAAGCAACAAACAGTAGACGAGGCAAAATGATAACCTTTATTTCCTTGATTTTTTTAGGGCTTGCATCTGCATAGTTGAACATAACAGGATGCCAAGCTTTGTTATCCATTTTTGCAGCAGACTGATTCCACAGCGTATAGGTCAGTGTTCTTCGTTCTAGTTCACCTTCAAGCTCACTCATCTAACAAGAAGAGAGAAACAAGGACTAATTAGAACACGTGGTTCCAAATATAACAAATCATGAAAAGCCATATATAAGATTGAAGAGACCAATTTTACTTATTCAACAACAGAATTCGAGTAAGACAAGTAAAAGCCAAGAAGAAAACCCTAAGATTGTGGGGGAAAGAAAGTAGGAATAGGACAATTGATACATATTACTCACCGCAAACAATGTCTGCACATAATGTTCATCTGGGATACAATTGTGCTGCTTTTGAAGTTTCTGCCCAATCAATTAAATAGAAATTATCAACACATTATCAATCACAATATCTGAAACAACACTGAAGAGTATTTGCATAACAAAAGAAGAGTACACCACGTACAGAAATCAGATCTCTACTAAATCAATGATGTAACACTAACTTAACAAAGAACAAAAAACTGAACCTAATAATTATAGCCCCCAAATCTAATTTCAAAGAGGTAAAAAAGGCTGTGACCAGTCAGCCCAGTTGCATCATTAGGGGATTGAGATCACTTACAATATTCAGCTTTCCTTTACCAGTGTCCATAGGAGGGCGTCGCTGCAAACCAAGAAGCAAATCCAAATTTCAGATTCAAGCTCTGTAGGATCCAATTTATGAGCACATGATAACATGAAATTGAAAAACACTAATAGGGAGTTGCGTATGACATCAAATAGACACACTATGAGACTATTTTAGAATAAAGTTTCCTTTTTACCTAGCTTTAATTTGTTTGATAAACATCCACAAACCCTCGGTAAGCAGTTCAGTAGATCAACAAAAGAAGACCTATATATTATCATAGCATTTATGCAGCAGCACTACATGCCAAAGAAGAAGGGGAAAAATGACCTCTAAAAAGAGATACTTTGTGGATAGGAATATTTAGCAATAACAAGGACCGATGTCCAATTGAAAATGAAAACATTATACAATCAACTACATACCTTGCAGAATTTCTTAAAGACTGGAAGAACAACCTCATCATCTACAATGACTTCTGCATGACTCCTTATCAAAGAGATCCACTGCGAGTACAAGTGAAATTCAAGTGACACAATAAATAAGTGTACTGAAGCTCATACAAATGCACAATGATGATGACAGAAATATGAGCAATTCATCCATTTGGCAGCTGAAATAAGTTGGCTCTGAAACCAGGACTAAGAGGCAAACAGCTTTTTATTACCACAGCAGTTCTCAAAGTTAAAGCCAGTTATACAGAACACATATGATAGATAAGAGACAAGATATTCAAAACATGCTCCGTTTCAGACAACGAATTAGACAGCGCTATTAAGAGATTCTTTTAAAAATTTGAAGTCTGAGATCAATTCACATTTCCTTTCATCTTTCTTAAACGTAAAATCATAGCACAAAATAGATAACCTGAGATCCTTTTCGCCACTTCTCTTTCAGTATAACAGGAGACATTTTTGGGTGGTAACGCCCATCCTTTACATCAAGAAAGCTGCAAAACAAAAATTTAATTTCTTCAAATAAAGACCAGAACCAGCTTAAAACTAATACAACTCCTTTTCTTTCTTTCTCTTTTAATTAACCATAAGCACAAAATCAAAAAATAAAAATAAAAAATCAATGCTTGGCACCTCAAGAATGAAAAAGGCCCGCCATCTACCTGTCCACGAAACTCCTAGAAGAAGACATCATATAACTGTATATATAGCTGAAGTTGTACAGAGGAACACAACTGCACAAATATAAATTTGTCAAATTGCTATAAAACAATACTCTTTATTTAATTAGTTATAATAAATTAAACCCAGAAAAAATTAACTAATTTTAAGTTAAAAAGTACAAACCTGTCAGAGAGAAGAACAAATCTTTGATTTGCTGGATCCTCAAGAGCAGCTTCAAGCAATAATCTTTCAGCTTCTATCATACTTGATTCTCCCCATATCACCTGCAACGCACGTGACTTACACTTATTGAAGCTTTAACCAATCAAAATTCTTGTTTTTTAATTGTTTTTGTTTTTCGTTTTCAGCTGGTAATCACCTGAATGCTATTAGTCAATTGCCGATCGTAAAAGAAAACCGACCGCGTAGTCGACTGGTCGAACACGAAGCCAGGAGCCGAGTGTATATAAATGGAGAAATTGGTCGCGTCGGCATTCTGTAACAAAGTCCCCACATCAAAAATTTGCTGAAATTTGGCATAAAGGAGTAGGAAAAAGGAGGGGAAAATAACAGAACTGACCTCGAAGAAACTGCCCCAGAGAAAATCGAGAGGGAGGTTGAGGCGGGCCAGAAAGAGGAAGGCGATCTTAGGGATACCGTCTAAGCTACCGCCAGAGATTCGAGATCTCACGCGGGCGGGACGAGACAAAGAGTTCGGGGAAGAGAGGTCGGGAGAGAAATGGAGGCGGAGGAGAGCGACGAAGCAGAGGGCGACGGAGAGGAGGATTACCAGTTTCCAGCCGAGCCAGAGAACGTGGCGCGCTGGTACTGGAGTGGGAACCTTCTTCGTCATACTTCTTCCTGCAACCGATCACACTTGGCTTAAAAACAACACCATCTTTCCTAATATTATTACCAAAAATCGATCAAAATTTTTCAGTTCAGAAAGAGAAAGGGAGAGAAAGTACATTGAACGGTCTTACAACCGTTTTGACAGAGACAGACAGGGAAAAGAAGGCATTCAGAAATTATGTGTGGAGTTTTCCTGCGGCCGGCTGTCTTCTTCTCTGGTCCAAATGCTGAACAGGGACGTTGATCGCCAAGTGCATGTCCTCTTTCCCACCGACCGACCGCCATCTCAAACGTCATCGTACGATTATTAAAACTATATGGCCTGATTTTGGGCTAGTTTTTGGGCTGGTCGGTGGCCCATCCCCATTTAATAGAGTCAAAACACCAAACTGTGCACTAAAAGAATTATAATTTATTACTTTTTGGTCTTAATTTGTTTTTTTTTTATTTTTACAGAAATTAAGATAAAATTTATTTTACAATTTTTTATAATATAAATGTTTAATACCTTTTAATATAAAAAATAAAAATGCAACAAAAAATAATTTAAATTCTTAAGAGATTGTGTGTGGTTTGTTTCTAAGGATAAACTTCATTACTTAAAGTAACAAATTCAAACAAGAATAATTAAAATTGAGAGGATATTTTCTATGATTTATGTCATGTGTCGCAATTTTAAAGAAAAACTATGAATTTCACATCTATTTTATATTAAAATATTTAAATATTCATATCATATTCAATTTATAAAACGTCTTTTGTGAAATTAAAACTAACAATACTTTACAAGTTAATGTATCAAAAGTATAATACAAACATGTGATTTCTAATTTATTTTTGTAGATAAAATTTCTGGGACATACAATTTAAACATCAATTGTTGATTATATACATGGATGCCCAAGCCAAAGATACGGGTACAATTATAAGCCTTTTCCCACAGCCGGTACCTTCTTACATGTAGACAATCCTCCAGGGAGCTGTTCCTGAAAAGTAGAAGGTAAAAATGTTCAAAGCTAGAGCAAATGCAATCTGTTTCTTTTTCTGACTTCTCTCGTGTGCAACAATGGAGAATTTGATTAAAGACATAAAGCACTCGCACCTCTACTTTTTGACATTTGCACTCTGTTTGCAGAGTAGATGCCAAGTTGGAACAGCAGAATGACAATGTGAACTCAGAGCTGTTTCTCTGCACCTAAAAGTATGGGGCACATGCCTGTGAGGATTATTGGACGCCCACCTTGACGTTTTGACGATCCAAGATAACATTTAAGATCTTTCCAGGAACAAAAATTCTCTTTTTGATAGGTTTCCCATCGAGATACTTGGAGAGTTTCTCATCTTGTGAAGCTAATGTGAAAGCATCCTCCTCCGAACATCCTTTTTCAACCTGAATTGTACCCCTAGTCTTGCCATTTATCTGGACCGGTAGGACAATGGTTGATTCCTTCAAGTACGTAGGATCAGCCTGTCATCGGAGCATGAACAAGATTATGAGGTGATCACACCCCCACTGTCCTACAGGAAGCGAGTCTACAAAGATAAGCTGTAAATATAACTTGGGACAGAAGTTGTACCTTAGGGAATGGCGCATATGCTATTGAATCTTGATGACCAAGGCGAGACCAAAGCTCCTCGGCCATGTGGGGTGCATATGGTGAAAGCAACAAGACAAATGCTTCGATAATGGATTTTGGATGTTTATCCCACTAAAGATGTGAAGACCAAAAAAACAAAAAATCAGATAGTGAATGAACAAAGTCAACCAACAAACAAAAAACTGGTAAATAATGGAAGAGGCAGTCTTCCAGACATCACACAAAAAGTGGTTTAACAGGATGTAATTAAAAACAATTAAAGAAAATTTTCCAAGGCTTTGCCCATAAGTGTGAGCTTTTGCAAAGTAGTACCAAAACAACTTATGTAGGTAGATCACAAGCATGTTCAACTTCACTTCAGAACTATTGATTGCACATTCTAGGTTTAACATAAACCCAACTACCCCCCACAATATCACAAGGTATTTAAAAGCCAACAGAATACTATTCCTAAGCAATTACGTATCAAGCTAATCAAGAAGAGGAAAGGGGAGGAAGAGCTTTCTAAAATGAACCTCCTCCAGACTCATAAGAGGACTTCCAACATTATTAAAGTATCCATGTCATTCATTCCATGTGTACTAAACCAGTATAATATCTGGCTTGTACCATTTAGATAATCAAGAAAAAGACAATAAAAAATCGTCAAGCTCCAATTGTTCAATGAAAAAAAACCTTATACGCTGCATTAATGAACTCCATCATTGCAGAAATTCCAGTGTTGAACCTTGTCCCTTCAATTTCCTCTGTAACCTGTGAACAAAATTAATCATCAGTCAGAAGCTTGTAAGGAATCTTAGGTGTCAATACTCCGGTTACTTGTGCACTCCTAAACTGATGAAATACCTTTAATGGCAACATTGACAAATATGACCTAATCTGGACAAATTCCTAGGTTAATTTACTCAAAGGCTTTACACACATTATAAACCACCTTTAGTCCTGCAGCTAGTGCATACTTCTTTGCAGATAAGACAAAGTCATAGCGTGTAGAAGATAACCTTAGCTATGCATTTATGGAGAGCACGAAGCTGTTCCATGATAGGTTCCTCATCAGTAACCACTGTTCCATCTCTAAACGTACCATGAGGTAAAGGTGAGCCAACAATCAGCCTCCAAGTTCTTCCCAAAAAACGATGGACCCCTTCAATGCCACTAGTATTCCATGTTTTTGAGTCTCTAAAAGCATTATGCAATAAAATGCACCAGTATGTCAAGAAGGCATCTTTGTTGGTTTCCTTCTTTATAAATAATGATTAAAATATACTAAAATAAATTCAACCAATTATTACCGAAATGGTCCCATGAACATTTCATATAATCTAAGAGAATCTGCACCATATTCAGCAACGACATCATCAGGATTGACAACATTTCCCCTACTTTTACTCATTTTATGAGCACGTGCAATCAAACGAATGTTTGGGTTATCTTTCAACACAAAAAATTCCCCAGACTTCACAACCTACATAAGGATTCACCAAATATGACAGGATGAAACGCCAGAATCAATAAGCTGAACTTTGATATTAGTAAATGAATAAAAATAAAAAGCAAATCATAGAAAAACGTGTCCAAGGACATACTCTTTCCTCAGGAATGATTTCTTGAAGGTGTTCACCCATCTCATTAGTCGAGTCTGTAGATATATAGTTTCCATCTGTGTCTTTGCAAGCCATATATTGAACCTGCGACTCCAACCATGAGATATGCTTCAAATGAAATTTTCACTTTACCATGCAGAAGCAAGTATACTTACTTCCCCAAGAATAATTCCCTGGTTTATGACACATTTGAAAGGCTCTTTAGTCGATACGACACCAATGTCATACAGTACCTGATACGTAGAATTAAATACAGAAGTATCAGTAACATGTAGAAATAAAATTAGACAGTTTTGCTCCCACTCTTACACAGCCCACAATGTAGTTAGTACTGCATGCCTCACTGGATCCCTTCCGGAATCTGCCAGCCATATAAGACAGCAATACCCTGGCTTGGGAGTAGTAAGCTGAAAGACAACCCATCTTTTAGGTTTAGGCTCTAAATATGTTAAATTTGACCCTATGCTAGCCCAAAACAATCAGAATTAATAGCAATCCTGACTCTGTCTTTCCATAAGGTAGACATGATTTTCATTCAAGATAGTAACATGCAAAGGGAAATACAACAAAAACACATCCTAAATCATGTATCATAGACAGTTCTACAGGTAAAAGTGGCCCATGGGAATCCCATTGCAAACTTTATGCACATAATTTACAGAAAAGACAGAATACAGACTAACCTTGTGCCAGAACCTTGAGTAAAGTAAATGGAGAACAGCATGCTCAGCACCACCAACATAGATATCAACAGGGCTCCAGTACCTGAATGTGGAGATATATTTAAGGAAACCAAAGAAACCAAGGCAATAAAATGCACACAAAAAACCTTTCTTAGGTTCTTTACAAATACCTAACAAAGAAAACTTAAATTTCTTAAGAAAATTTTCTACTTAAATTAATCATATCGAAAGACAATCTTACATTTCTTTCGCCTTATCAACTAATTCTTTGGAGTTTTTGGGGTCCATGAATCTCAAATAGTACCTGAACAAAGATGGAAATGGTATGAGGCCTCAATATTTCCACCAACTCATATGAATTTGAGCAATTAAAGACTACATTAATTTCTCCATGAAGCCAACAAAAGCATTCTCTTAGATGTCAACAGAGACTCCCAACTGACCTGTGTCATATTCCACAACTTTAACTTTTAGACGATCTTTATTCTTCAAAATGATTCTTTCTTTCATTTATCTTATTTACCTCGTGAAGGATCTCAATGTTTCCAAGAAGAAAAGAAAAAAGGCTAGAAAAGGCAACTACTGCAGAGGTAATTTAATTATAAAATGGAACTACAGATGGTAATAACAGGTACTTTACCAGCAAGAACCAGCCCATTGTGGCATGGTGTTAGTTTCTCGAGTAGCAGGTTTCCCAGATGAAGGATCTATGGTTTTAACCTGAGATAGATGAATGCATCTAACTAAGCATATCACTAGTACAAATAAAGGATAGGCTAATGAAACAAAAAACAGAACCAAGGAGTAAGATGTACCCATGACAGTGCTTTGGACAGTGGTGGTTCCCCTGTTCCAGTTGGAGTAAAATCATCCAATTCAGGAAGGGTAAGGGGCAGCTCAGTTTCAAGAACCGGAATGCTCTCACCACTATCAGCCAAGAAGATAACTGGGATAGGCTCTCCCCAATAACGTTGCCGAGCAAAAAGCCAGTCCCTCAATTTGTAGTTCACCTAAGAGATAAAAGTCTAACTGTTTAAGCAAAGAATGTCATAAATTATGCATAATTACGATCAAATCCCTGCCTTTCACTGACAAACAAGTTTCAGGTGACCAAGAAAAGGCACCTTTTTCTTCCCATTTCCAGTTTTCTCAGCCCACTCTATAACTTTGTGAGCAGCTTCTTTGCTAGACAAACCATTGATGTCAAGCCCCACCATCATGTTAGAAGAATTTATAACAATGCCTTCTCCTGAATAAGCCTTCCCAGACTCAATGCAACTTTCATCATTGGGTGTCACAACCCATTTGATTGGAATATTATACTTTGAGGCAAACTCATGGTCACGAGCATCATGTGCAGGTACAGCCATAATTGCTCCTGTTCCATAACTGCACAAATAAAAATATGTATGTTTCTTGCATATTGATAAAATCCCCAAATACTTACTAACAGTTCGTTTATCTAATTTGCATAAATATCAAGTAATCAACTGACACAGATTCTATTCTAGACAAAATAGACAGATGAACAGCATAAATGCATCAACCAACTGATAGCAGTCTTAAAAACATATGGAATGGGGAATCAAGCAAAACACACCTTCCCAACACATAATCCGCAACCCATATTGGAATTGGTTCCCCATTAGCTGGATTTTTGGCATAGCAACCACTAAAGACTCCAGTTTTCTCCTTCTGAAGTTCAGTCCTCTCAAGATCACTCTTTCTCAAGGCAATGTCTTTGTATTCCTCCACCTGTGTCGTAAGATTCATTGTCTTCAAGTTACCAAAATTACTAAAAGAAAAATACAGGGTAGCAAAGAAACAGTAACATACAATTTCGCTCTGTTTTGCGGATACTATTGATGACAACAGGGTATACTCTGGTGCCACAACTAAATATCTGCATACAGACGACTGGTAAGAATAGATCATTCTCCAAAAACTATTATTGAAATAAAGACACATACGAATAGAGTGCGAGAAGTACGTTGCACCAAAGATGGTATCAGGCCTGGTAGTATAGACAGTAATTTTCACGTCTGTTTCCCTTCCGTCGCTGTCAAGAACACAAAATTCCATTTCAGCGCCCTCTGACCTCCCTATCCAGTTCCTTTGCATTTCTTTGATACTTTCAGGCCAGTCAAGTTCATCCAAATCTTCAAGAAGACGATCAGCATAAGCAGTAATCTTCAGCATCCATTGCCGCATTGGCTGCTTGGTAATAAACAATGACACTGTAAAATTATAAAACATTCACAAAAATCGGAAATAAGAGAAGTATTTTAACTTAGGAATATGGACCACCCAGCACACAAATAATTAAACTAACATACCTTTCTGATAACAGGATGACCCCCACGCTCACTCACACCGTCCACAACCTCCTCATTTGCAAGGACAGTACCAAGAGCTGGGCACCAATTAACCGGTACTTCAGCCTGCGCTCAGAATTTGACCAACCACAGACCGAGCTTTTGATGAGGATGTACGAAATTATTAATAGGAATAATGAACTCAGAACTAGTCATAAGCCAAACCTGATAGGCCAATCCTCTCTTTAACAACTGAAGAAAGATCCATTGGGTCCATTTATAATACTCTGGTTCTATGGTGGATATTTCACGATCCCAGTCATATGAGAAACCCAATGATTTAAGCTGCAAGTAAATAATTAGTGTAAGAGGTTCAAGTTAACCACAAAGATGATTGCAAATTGGCAGAGCTATCAAACTAACCATCTAAGGTGATCAGAAATTGGCAGACAAAAACAAGCTACATATTATGAAGACAGTTATAACCTGTAGGATGGTGCTATCCCATAATGGCAAAAGGGCTGCAAATGACCATCGGGAAGCTTCTTAAATGGATTATATTTACAGCTCTCTGGAAGTGGGAGGACTATGACCACATATTATCATTCTTTTTCTTTTAATAAATACATTATTAAATCCTCTCTCCAATCTAATTGATGGGTAATAACCATTGGAAGCTAACCAAGATGAAACATAAAGATGTAACTTTTAAAATCTCTACTATCAGCAATTCGTCATACAACTTCACATACATTTGGTCTCCAAGTACAAATACTAAAGAGTAATAACCTGGGAACGAAAGCGGTTAATGTTCGTCAATGTTGTGAGTTTCGGGTGAGTTCCAGTCTGCAAACCACATTATGAAAACAATTAATAAACTAAAAAGAAAAAAACCATGGCATTGCAAAATGTTGAAAATCAAATATCATGATTTCAACTCAAACCTCAATTGCATATTGCTCAGCAGGCAAACCAAAAGCATCCCATCCCATCGGATGTAACACATTGTAACCCTGCATGCGTTTGAACCTCGCAAGAATATCTGTGGCAGTATAACCCAGTGGATGCCCAACATGTAACCCGGCTCCACTGCATCATTTCCATCCAAAACTTTTACCACAAAGCTTCACTCAGAACAACCAAACAAAAAGGACAAAAAGGGGCCAGTAAACAGAATGCAACTCTCAAACGACAAAGTTCGTAAAACCCAGCATATTTGTCAAAGGGATTCAAAACTATGAAATTCAATCAACTAAATTGCACTAACATAAACTGTACTAAATTAAACTGGGTTATTGCCAAAAGTGTTTTAAATTCACAAGTCTTGAGAAGTAAAAAATAGAGACCGCCAAATTTTTTGAAAATAGTATAAATAAAACGACCATTAAAAATAGATAAAAAGGACCTGGGATAAGGGAACATGTCAAGGACATAATATTTGGGTTTAGAAGTGTCAACATCATCTGGTGTACGGAAGGTTCGGTTTTCCTCCCAATAACGCTGCCATTTGGGCTCAATTTCGTTAAAAGGATATGCCCTTTTCACTACCACTGACTTCTGTTTTTGCTCCTCTTCAACTTCACTCACTGAGCTCCTGATCCTACTTCCCCTAACACCAAAGCAACCATGGGTTAAAAGGGTATGTTTCTTATAGACAAAGGAAGCAAAAGACGATGACCTTCCAATGGGGGCAGTGATGAATTTTCTTGGAAATGGAAGTTTTTGACCGCTGGAAAAGAGGAATGTAGGGTGGTGAAGTGGAGGAGAGGGAGCGAATGGTTCAACTTTAACATGGGTTATGTTCATTTTCTGGTCCTAAACCGAGGTTCGAAGAAGAGGAGCAAAAGAGAAGAAGATTGAAGAGTAGCAAAGGGTTGAAAGAGGGAACAGAATCGGGATAATGTTGGCGGTTAAACTGATTGGTGGCTGTTCTTATTCTCGTTGCTGTTGTTTGATTTGGGCCTGAACATTTTCAGGCAGATTTTTCTGGGCCAGCAAGGGTTCGGTTTCTAATCATATAAAAGCCCAGCCCGTATTTCCCTATGATCGGGCTCGTTTTAAGATTTTCAAATTACATAATAAGAGCTGAACTTTTTTTTCTTTTCATTTAAGGTCTGAATTAAAAATCGACTTCAAGAATTCAAGTTTAATTTGTGGCAATACTACCATTTTAATCTTTTTTTTATGTTGAAATACAATATAAAGTAATGAATGAGTAAATCAAACGACAAGGACTTATTGGAGTACAATAAAAGATTAAAAACTTAATTGCATAAATAGATGTAATTCAAGGTATTTTATTATTTAATCCCTTCACTTCAATCATATCACTCTATGCTCTTTTATATTATTCTTCTTTTATTCATTTTTTTCCGCCTTAAGATTGGGTACTACTCAATCTTAATGGAGTTCATCAAACTTCATGTTATCAAAAGTGCCTTTCCTTATTACTTTGAAAATTGAAAATGCAATTTTTTGATTAAACTCATAAATAGTTCTGCATATTAAACAGAATTATAAGGTATTAATTAAGTTTTATCAATGACATGGAAAGAATATCCCTAGATCCAGCAATGTAATGAGCGAGTCCAGAAAATATTCTTAATAAAAGATTATTCATCTCACATTTTTTGAATTTTATGTTATACATTTCACGAATACCTCATGTTCATGCAACGGTCAAATAAAATATTTTAATAAAATAGAGAAAGAAATAAATGTATAATAATTAAAAATAATAATAAATTTAAGAATTAAGATTCCAATAGAGTAATCTATAGTTAAATGGTACCGTTCTTAGAACGAACATCACGGGATGCTAATCCTTCCTCAAATATAACTGTACTCTCGAATCCAGTTTTAAAAATAATAAAGATGTTTTAAAGTGATCTTTGCTATAAACAACAAAATTGTTGCAGAGGTGATTCGAATGAAAACATATGAACTAAATGCTAATTCAAATTTGATTTTGGTTATTAAAAATCTCTTAAAAAAATGTCAAATCAATATTATTCATGTGTAACGCAAATCTAATTGTTTGGTGGATTTTCTTACAGTTATAGCTTTTTAATATCCTGTTGGTATGATCTTTCTCAAGAATCCTCCTAGTAGTTGTGCTTTAATTTTATTAAGCAATGTAATAGGAACATGTTATTTTATTATAAGTATATAATTCTTCTTTTTTTATAAATATAATAATAATTTTTTACAATAATTACTTTAAATTTGACAAGTAAATTAAGCAATAAGAAACCTTTATGAATACAATAACTTGGGATTTTTATCTTTTGGTAAAACTATATTACTTGTATCATACTCCTTGAATGTAGGACTATTGCAAACAACCAAGTAGGATTCTAAAAAGAAAGGTAATTTTGTCACCTCATAAAACCATAAAACCCTAATCAAGGATTATTAGTATAAAAGGGCTTCCAACCCTTTATTATTTTGTGTCTAAAACCTTAGAATGAGTAGGTTAGAGATCTAAGATCTTTCATGGGAATTGAGGAAGAAAAAGAGTAGTTTTCTCTTTGTTTAGGGCTTGGAGATGTTGCAAGGTAAGTTCTATTAAACTGTTTTTAAATTTTTTTTAAAATTACAAAAAGAGATTCGAACTCTATTCTTTAAATAAAGAGATTATATATTCAATTAAAAAAATTAATTTGTTTGATTTGTAGTTTTCAATGTTGTTTGCACTATTTTAATTTCTTTCTAATTTCTTTTTAAGATTTCATAAATTTTCATGATGAATCCATGAAATTTTTTCTTAGAAATTTGCAATTTTTAGATCTAAAAATAAGTTATTTATTACTTGATTAGGTGAAAGTATTGTTTATTTGATATTTGATAGTATCAATGATGCACAGATATGTATATATGTATACACGTATATATAAACAAAATTTATATTTATTACTATTTAAGTATTATTATACTACTTATTTGATATTTGATGGTAGCAATGATAGACATATATGTATAGAGGCACATGTCCACACATACATACAAACATAAAATTTTTATACATTATTAATATTTAAGTATATGCACTCTAGCATTTAATTCATTAGTTGGTGCATCGTTTAAATAATAGAGTTTGAATCTTTTTCCCTTAATTAAGGAAAAATGTGTATTATTTATATTTAAGTATTTTCGTATCTTGATGTTGCTAATACATATATATGCATACACGTACATACCTACACATACATGCAAACATAAAATTTATATATTATTAATTTATAAATATTTTCGTATTACTGATTTGATGTTTGATGGTATTGCTGATACATAGGTATGCATACAAGTACATACCTACACATACATACAGACATAAAATTTATATTTTTAATATCTAAAGATTTTCGTACCACTAATTTGATATTTGATGGTGTTGATATACAAAAATGAATACACTACATACCTAGACGTACATACATACATAAAATTTAAATATTATTAACATTTAAGTATTTTTGTACCACTTTTTTTATATTTAATGATGACTACATATCTACACATACATACATACATACATAAAAATTAATATTTTAATGATTTTTGTTATAGGTATTGCACTTGAATCTTTCTTTATTGATATTTTCTTACTTTAAATTCAAAATATTTAAAAAAATTTGATATAAATGAGTGAAAATTTTTACAAGCGAGTACAGGCAAGTTAAAGGATTGTCCAATGCCCATTATGCTATATATTTTTCATCTGTGAAGTTCGAAATTCTTATGTATAGAATAATATCTTAGTTAATTATTAATTATGAATTTAAAAATTTTATAATTGAATTAAAAGGTTGTTGAATATCTATTATGTTATGATATACTCGCTTGTGAAGTTTAAAACTCGTGTCACGAGTAAATAAATAGCAGCATAATTGCTGAAAAAAATTATATTTACTCGAAGTGCCCAAAAAATTTACAATTAGGTTTGTTTTGAGAGTCGAATTTTCAAAAACTTGTACCCGGGACACGACAAAAAGATATGAGCCCATAAGTTTTACAAAAGCTAGTATCCGACCCCAGATAGTCTTTGTTACTCGACCAACATAAGGCGAAGTTCGGTTGTTGCAGGTTGGAGAAGCTCTTACAGGGCTGAATTCAGAGTTGATATCAGTTCTTCTAGTTCTTTGATAGCTCGTTCTACTCCGTAAATGATCATTTTCTTGATCTGTTTACATGGAAATGAGGTTTAGCAAGAGAAATAATAGAGATCAAAGACAGAAAAATTGTAATAACACCAACGAAAGGATGTACCTCAAGTTTGTCTTCTCTGGCTCTATGGTTCTTGGGAAGCTGGCGGAACTCCTCAGTTAAACGCAGGCACTCCTTGATATTCTCTGGGGACACGAAGTCCACAGCAACTTTCGTGCATGACTGCGGAAACACAAACAACGATGAGAGACTGCAAACAGAGTTGTATGAGAACATATAATGAGGATATATGAATGTATTAATACCTTCAGATTTCTAACTTGGTGTGGACATCCAGCAGGAATGAAAACAGCCTCCCCAAGATGTTGTTCAAACGTCCATGGCTCGACTCCTAGACAGCACAAATCATTTGTATAAGGAACCCAGAGAATCAATGAAGTTTTATATTTAAGCATGAAGGTGCATATCTTGTACTAACCAAATTCCTTCTTCAGTTTCCTTTTGTGCTCCACAGATAGGTAAAATGATTGGTCGTGAATTGGATGGATTACCTATTCATAAACACATCCATTAACAATTGTAGAGCATTTGAGGAAAGTCTAAGAGGGGACAGGAAATCTCAGCCTTCTTAAGGAAGGGTAAGAGCTGCTAACTAAAAGAGAAATTATAGTTAGATGCTTATAAATTACCTGTTCAACCGGGGAGCAATAGGTATGCCTGAATTCTTTAGAGTGCTTCCTAAGATAAGCCTCCAGTTTAGGAACATCCTCCCTCCTAAAAATGTCCCACAGGGCACCACCTGTCTCCTTTCTGCTGGTGTAGAGACCTGGAATTCTAGCTCCAAGTTCATCTGGGGAAGCATCAAGTATATTATTATCAGAGTAGTGATCTTTCTGATCTTTGATTTCCGGGGCATCCATCTTATTTTCCAGATCACTACTTTCTACATCAAGGCCTTCTTTAATAGGATGCTTGTCTACTCTCCGTCTCTCTAAATGTTCCTTTTCATCCTGTGCCTTATGTTTCATTTTCAATTCTTCTATTGCAGCAAGTTGCTCTTTGCTTAAGGCTACATCTGCAATATGTGTCAAAATGTTTACCTACACCAATTGATAATAATAAAGGGGTCATTAGATGTAATAACAAGTAGTTGCATGAGGTCGAAAACAAAGCAGTGTATGAAGAGACAGTACGTGAAGAAGTTCTAAGAAGATAATCAACCTATATATTCCTATATCTGAACAGTCGCAACATGAGGCAACCTCATACTTTTACTCATACAATTGATAGACAATTGTATAACTGAAACTCATTCTTATGACCAACACGTAAATATATGTGCAAGGATAAAACAAAAAATAATGAGTATAATCTTAGGCTACTAGATTTTGTGGCTGATTAAGGCATACCGCATCTGACATATCACAATGAAGCTTTGTCACAGAGTCCCCTCTTCCAAGCTCCTCTGCAATCCCATAAGCAATATATGTTTTTGGCCCCAAGTCTGGTTTCAGGACGCCTGGTGGCAACTTCACAGCAAGGTTAAGGATACCGGACCTAGGATCACTGTATTCTTGAAATGGCAATGCACTAATAAACTCATCACAATGCCGAGGCAAAAGATCCTCAAACTCATTGGATGGGGGCCAGTCCTTTAACTTGAGCATCTCAGGCCAGAAGTTATCATATCTTCTCCCTTCCATATAGCCTTTGAAAAATTGACGCGTATTGATTTCCACCTTTATACATATATTGACAAAATCAGACTTCAAACCTAACCTAGCCTTAAAAGAATGCTTGAGAAAGAAAAAGAAATTGCTCTAAAAGCTAGGAGGGGAGAACAGAACTAACCTCACAGCCAGCTAGACAATCAATGGCCTTAACTTCAGACATATCCAAACTACTATCTGAATCCACTTTTTCACATAAAGCACGCCACATGACCATTGGCTCCCAGCTTAAACCAGTTGAATTTGCAAGAGCATTCCGAACAATAACCGGTTCACCTTTGGCCCAGTGTATTTGAAAGTGAGAAAGGTCTTCCCCTTGAATGTCACTTGAAGTTGGAGCATATAAGCAATTGTCATTAGATCCGTCTCTGGAGGTCACCCTCTGTACTGTCTCTCTACCTGATACTGTACATTCATCCTTCAATATTCCTTGCCTAGTTTTGCAGGTGCTCAACATTTCCCCTGCCTTTGCTTCCAAATTTGATATCCATCCCACTGGAAGGATTCGCTTAAGCTCCAAACTGCAATCACCACAACCACCCATTTCTCTAGGAGGACAAGTAATACTTCCATCATTATTGGCTTTCCACTGAAGTGATGGCACAGACTGATCCTTAGCTGATTCATGAAGATAAGATTCTGGTAAAGGGTCTCCACCATGAATATAATTGTAACCTCTGTTCCTGTATTTATATGCAACTTCATCATGAGTAGAAAGGCTTCCCTCCCGAATTTCTTGACAACAACTAAGACAGAGTTCATATGAACATTTTGGGCAGCCACGATGAAGGTCAAAGATCGAAGTTGCACAGTGGTTACTGTTCCAAAGAGATGAAAAATTGGAGGGATGATCAATGACATTTTGTGAATAACAGATACAGTCACAGAATAAGTTTTATGTTTATGCTTATGTATAGAATGCTTACCAATAGACACGCTCATCATTATAACAAAAAGTCTCTGGTATTTCAACTGCAGATGGCAGCAACCCTAAACAGAGAACCTTTAATCAGGAACTAATTGAATTTCATGGAGTGCTTGCAGCCAAAGTTTGGAAAAAGACATACCACGAATGTCAGCCTCAACCTCTGTCTCCTGATTTTGCATTTTGCAAATTTGTTTCAGAAAGGGAAACATTGACTCGATCAAGTATTTCAGATGCTTAATCTTTTCCTGATCTGTGATGTTCCTCCTTGATGTCTGTAGATTAGGAAGAAAGAATTATTAGGTGACAAAAATTTTGGTATTTCCATGGCCCATGCTAGAAAAATTTTAATCAAGTTTAACAACCTAAGAAGCAAAGACATTAACATTTACACAAAGCACCACCCTGATGAAATCTGTACTAACATATCAAGACCCTTTCTCCGTATTCTAGCAGGAACACTAGTTATCTTGGTTAATCTGTTTACCACACCATTTAAATAGACAGTTTGTCATAAAGAATAAACCTGAAGCCAATACGTAATTCAATTCTGGTTACTTAAAGAGAAAAAAAAAACCTTAATCAATCCACTTGAGTGCAAACAGATGCTGCAATTGCAATTCCTGCAACAAGAAGGGCACTGCTCTGCAATTTTTTCTTCTGGTATATGGGGATACCTATACACACCACAACCAAAAAAAAAATGAGAGACTTTAAGATTTATAAAAGTAAAATATTGAAGCCCATTGGGTCAAAAATGTTACCATTGTCTGATACAATGGATACAATACACTTTGTCTTCACATTTCATGCACGGAACAACAATTCTCCTTTCAGTCATACACTGATGACACTTGAACTTATCTCTCTTGGCCTGATTAAAGCAAAATTTCTGATAATTAGTATTTGAGAGAGTTATAAAAGCAAGAAAAGGGAATTTCCGTTTTAGAATTAAAAAGAAATAAAATACCTTAACATTTTTCTTTGTGCATCTCTCTCTGCTGCTATCATCACTTTTCAGATGTGACAACGATGAGCCTGAAGATGATGATAACAAAGGCGATGAAGAATGCAATGAAGTATCAATAGGATCACAGTTATTCTTCTTAGTCTCCTTAGGGCTTCTTTTGATCATCACACTGTTTGAATTTCTGCTTTTGCTCCGTGTTTTCACGTTCATAAACACAATAGCTTCCTCATCCCATCCATCTAATACATCTTCCTCAGAAGTAGTTATCTTGTCTACTCCATTCCAATGCCTCTTAGGAATTTTCTCATCCTCTAAGAATTCAATTTCTTTACTTAGCTTTCGCTTCTTTGATGGATTTTTTGCTTGTCTTGACAATTGCCCTATATTGTCCTTCCCTTCAGATATTGTCCTTTTATTTTCATGGTGGACCATCACGGGCTTTCTTTTCTTTGATGCATGCCACGAACTTAAGGGTTCCTTAATTATCTGCATACTTTGACCAGTATGACAGTTCAACCGCTCTTGCTTAGCAATCATCGCTGCCATTCTCGCTGCAGAGATACGAAAGTTAACAAAGTCAAGATTATTTTTTATCAGAACCCAGCAAAGATTCTTCTTACTAAAATACAACTAATGCTAATCAAACTTCAAAGAATTGGCATTCTTAATATTCTTTTATACAGAAAAAACTATTCATTAGTATCACTCAAGGAATGGAAAACACAGAAGAAGTGTAAATATCTCGTATTCTTTCTAGTAACCACTTTCAACAAAAACAATGGATACAAAAGCAATTAAACTCGATAGATTTTTTATATATAATCAAAAGAAGCAGCAAGCAACCAACAAACTTAACAAAGTCAGCCATGGATTCAATGTGACTATCAAGCCAAACTCCTGCATTATATCTATATACATTGTCTGGAGAATTACTATACACATAAACCAGCTCAAAATCAATAATCAAAAGTCCCAGCCTAAAAACTCATGACCCTTTCAGATAAGACAAAAACAGATGACAGAACCAGATGCGTTGACTCAGGTCAAGTCAGCTGAATTATTCGTTAAAAACCCAAAAATATCATTCAAAAAGAAATATCAATGTGAATTAAAATTCATCAACATTCAGAAAATTAATATCAATTCGAACATCAACCAATCCACCGCGAATGATATTCAAATTCAAATTCAAATTCTTTCACACGTCAATCATTACAAAAGAAAATACCAAACAACAAACCAAAATTGAGATTCTTTAAAGAAAACCAAACGGGCAAAAAAAGTATCGATCAAAGCGTCTGAGACTGACCTGTTCGGCGGAGATAAGAGAAGAAGAACAAGAACCAGCGAAGAGAAACGCGCGCAGACTGGGATTAAAACAATGGGGTTAATTCTTGGGAGTAGAATTGACCAAAAAGTCTCTTTGAAAGCGATCGACGGATGCAATTAACGAAAAGAAAACAAACAGACGAGATGATTCCGAAGAACGGAAATTTACGTTTATAAATAGAGAGCATTGAAATAGGAAAGAGGTCGGTTACGTTGGGCCTGGGGATTTTGTGAGAGGGTGGATCTTCGTGGACTACATGTTTGTTTAATAAACTACGCTATTCCAACTAGGATTTAGATTGGACACGTCAGAAATTCGGAATTAAGTAATAAAGATGACTGCATTTAAGGACTTCCTTTCTCGTTATTTAATCCATATTTCAAAATAAAATCTTTTAAGATACTTTAAAAAATTCTAATAATTAATATAAAATACACCAAAATTAAAATTTTATCTTAAAATTTATAAAAATTGAAAAGAAGATAAGAAAATGTAGTAATTAAAATTTCCAAAAATTTTAAAAATCATGATAAATTTGCTCTTTATTTATAAAAGGAAATAAAATTTGGCTTTAAATATTGGCCTTTTTTGAGGGAAAATATATGGAATGGTCTGAATATTAGGTGGCAATTAAAAGAAATGATAATTGGTATACTAACTAGCCTGTAGCCACACATATGGTAGGGCCATTAGCGTTTAACATAAATCAAAGTCACCATTTTTTTATTTTAATAGCATTCTTCTTTTTTCTCTTTTTCTTTTATTTATCTTTTAGAATATTTTAAAACAAAATTTTTCTTTAAGATACTTAATATTTTTACTTTTTTCAATAACATAAATTCATATTTATTATATGATTAATACTTATATAAAAATATAAAATCAATTAATATAAAAATCAGGAAAATCTAGTGAATAACAAAACAGATATCGCGGGCCCACTTCCACTGACAAGTAAAGACTATACTAATGATCACGTGCCCAATTTCGAGTTTTAACTTAAAACAATAACATGCGCGAGTTTGTTCTCCAACGTGGCTGCCAGAAGAGGCCACGTGGACGTGGCTAGAACCAATGAAGAAAGACAAAAGGCATAATTTGTTTCGTTTTTTTTTTCAATTAATATAATATAAATATGTATTTTTTAATTAATATTTTATAGATTATTTCTGCTCTAACAAAGAATTAAATTGTTAATTTTTTTAATTAAATTACAGAAGTACTTCTAAATGTGAATAATAAACTAACTTTAAATTAAGAGTTATTTAATAATTTTATTGAGTGATATTAACAAGACATAAATCTAGAGTTTGAGCCTTTTTTTTTAAATATTGGGTAATGTAAGCATATATTGAAATATTAATCTATTAAGAAATAATATACTTTTTTTATAATTAATATTTATAATGTTAATATTGATAATTTTATTAAAAAAAAAAACAACACAGCAGTAGTTGTGTAGGCCCATTTATTTATCGCGGAAATCTTTCAATTGCGCATGTGGTAACTAAGGGAAACATCAAAGCCTTTTTTGTTCAGCCCGTAGCTAGAATTGACTGGTAATTAATTAGTGGGCTGAATCTCAGTTCAATGATCCTTTGAATTACTTGGGCCGAATTCTGACCCTTAAAATTGGGCTTAAATGATGAGCCCATCATTTACAATGAAAAATTCCAAATATTTATAAAAAGAATTATATTATAAAATTCACAAATTATAATATTAATTGTACAATTATAACATAAATATAGACAAGCTTATCTGGTGCCATCGTCCCTTGATTCCCCGCCTTCGGTTGCCATGATAAAGACTGTGCTTCCTTTCGCTGTGAAGGATTTTTGTGAAAGTCAATTAAAAATACTGTCATAGAATTTAAAATATAATAATTTATATAGATTTGGGATGTTAATGAAAAATTAGGAATTTATAGATTAATAAAATAAATAAAATGATATTAAAAGTTGTTGCTTTTCTCAAAGGCCTTCCAAAGAAACATTACCCCTTTCGGCTTTTTGCTTATCTATCTTGTCCCTCCCTTCTCTGCCGTATTTGCTTTGTTGGAATTGGAAAAAAGAATCTCACATGTTCTCCAAGGCTCGTCTGTTACTCAAACTCCGGTGCGTTCTCTCTGCCTCGAAACGTCAGTCGTCAACAATCACTGCTGTTCGAATTGCCGCCACCTATTCGACAATATGCCCAAACCAAGCTGAAAACCGTACGGAAGCAGCTGTAGAGCCTCCGAGGGACTCTGCGGAACTTTTCAGGAAATGGGGTTGCAGCGAAAATGATTTATGGAAGATCTTTTCGCGCCAGCCTGCTTTGCGCCATGCTCAAGTTGCTCCCCTTTTATCTAAACTCAAGTTGCTCAGTGGCTTGGGACTCACCACTTCCGACATTGTTAAGATGATCAATTGTCGCCCTCGTTTGTTTTGTTCTCGTATCAATCATTGCTTCGACGAGCGGCTTGATTTTTTCCTGACGCTTTTCGGGTCACGAGAAGTGCTGCGTAAAGCCCTTGTTAGGAACCCTTCGCTTCTTACATATGACTTCCACAACACGATCAAACCAGTCATTGCGTTGTATGAAGAAATGGGCATTAGCGGAAATGATTTGACTGCCATGCTCATCTCGCGGCCCACGTTGATTCCTAGGACTTCGTTTAATGACGAGAAGATGGAATATATAAAGAAAACAGGGGTTTCAAAAGGTTCCAAAATGTATAAATATGTGGTTGCTCTCATTGGCATCTCGCGGATTGAGACTATACAGGAAAAAGTGACGAACTTGGAGAAGTTTGGGTGTTCAGAGGACGAGGTTTGGAGTCTTTTGGGACGGTCTCCCCTTATTTTGACACTATCAGTTGATAAGGTTCAAAGGAACATGACTTTTGTTGTGGGCACCATGAAGCTCTCCCCAAAACTGGTGCTTCAGTACCCATTTTTGTTGTTCTGCAACCTGGAAGCCGTATTGAAGCCACGGGTATTATTGGCTGGGAAGCTAAAGGACATGGAGCTTCACCCACAGATTAAGGGAGCAATGATGTTGAGGGCACTTAGGATGAAAGAAAGTCGATTCTTGACTGCGTTTGTTAAATGTCATCCAGAAAATGTGGCCACTGAATTGCTAGAGTTTTATAAGCACGCTAAATGTGTCAAACGATTGGCGGAAGCCTCAAAGATGAAAGTGCGTAAAGGATTTCCCTTTTGATCCATGAATGGTGACACAGATTTCATTTGAATTTTGCTTTCTTTGAAGATCAGCTCTTTATCAACTTCAATGTTTTCGATGATCACTTAGCGAGCACAGAGGTTACACTTGATCAGTTTTTTCAAATCGAGATCCGACTTGGATGAGGAGCTGGAGATTATGTACTCTCTGAGATTCGCAACAGAACTGGCATAGAGGCAGCATTGATACTTGGTCGAGCACTAACAGCCTGCTGAAAGGAGATGAGGGGTTGAAAAGTATTTGTTTTTTTTTTTTTTTTGGGAAATCATTTTTAATTTTCTACATGTATTATGTACTGAATTCCACCACTATTCCCTTTCAATATTCCAAAATAATATGAGTTATTAAAATTTTTACAAAGAACCCTTGTGTTAGTAAAGTATATTTTCATCTTTTCCTGCCCCATTTTGACTCCATTGATGTTCATCTTAGCAGGAAGTGAAGGTGGAGAAGATTAAACAAGAATTTGTAGTTAGAGTGACTTGCAACAAAGGAGGGGACAAATTGGTGTGAATATTAGAGGCATTTGATGAACTGGGTCATAATGTTGTGCAAGCAATGGTAACCATTTCTTTTCCATGGAAGCCATTGATGTAGCTCAAGACCAACAAACTATTCATATCAAAGATGTTGCACAAGCAACGTGGAGAGAAGGCGCTTGTAACATACAAGTTCCTTGTTAATTAGTGAAAGGTTTGCCCTTGAATTAATATACATATATATAAATGTTAATCGAGAAAAGCATTAAGCTTGTGGTTCGATTATTCTGCTCCCTGCTTCCTGATATTTCATCCGCATGTGGTTGTGCCAATCTGTTTTCTGCCCTCCTATGCTCGTAGTCATTGCTTGGCTGCTTTATGCAAATTGGGTCCCGCAGGCCGTATGCTGGTTAACAAATGCAATATGGGACTGTATCTGATGCATTAATGTTATGCCGCTTTCTGAGATTTTTTGAGGCAATTCCTTGGGTGGGGATGTGCTGCTTTTATAGACTTCATAGTTTACCTATGTAACTTCCTAATCGGAGGCAGTGCCTCCTTATGTACTGGTCCATATTAATCAAAAACCTTCACAGGCTATTTATAAAATTTACATATGAATTAATATCGATTCATTTGTGAGTGATCAGACAGTCGAACAATGGTAAATAATATTATTCTATTTGTATTATTGATTGTATGTATTTATGTGTACATATATATACATGTATATCATTTGTTCAACACCAGCTTCACCATCAAAAATTCTTTATGTTTAGACAAAAACCTCCATAGATAAACATCAAATATATAATTCCTTTTGGCTTTAAAAACAAAGAAATTCCTTTGATTGCACTACTGCAAATTCATTAGTCAACATATCGGAAGAAATTTCAAACAAATAACCTGCACAATAATTACTCCATCATCCTCTAAAAGTCCCAATATTGGAGTTCTTTCCATTGATAGCCACAAAATTCACAACTTGTTCTCTTCACAGAGTCTCAAAAGACTAACTCATCCGTTTGGCTACCTCTTCTTCCGCTATTTTGTTCATTTAATTTACAGTGCCACCCTCTTCACTTCATGATGTTGCTCAGAGTCAAATATACAGTGTAGTGTCAACACCAACTCATACTTTGCACCTAATTTACGGTTCTGAATGTTCAGGAACAGCCTCCGGCAACGATGGTGAGGATGCACCACTAATTCTGCTAGGCACCGGTGTGTTCCTTCGAGATTGGCGTTTTGTGGGGACTAACACACTCTCATTTTCTGACTTAAACATAAAGTCGTCATCGGTATCATCATCATCTTCCTCTTTGAAAACAGGATGGACATATGCATTGTGAAGATAAGGTTTCAAATTGAGGTTTGGTTCCCTTGCACGTTCCAAAGTGTCTTTCATCATTGCTTCCTGAAACAGATAACAGAAAAACATATTGACAATGATAACAAGGAAAGCAAAGATCAAGCAAATCCTCATTATACATAATATACATAGATTATGTTGTGGTAGTCCTTCACTATATTCATTAGAAAATGATTTTGAGATAAGAATAGCAGATTGAGAAAGCTTGTTACAAATTGAATCGTTTAAAACATATATAACCCAGCAAAACAACAAACCTGTAGAGGATATCTAACAAAAGCAGGTTCATAACGGGCTTTGCAGAATCTGTGGAACCAAATGGTGAGGACAGCAAGAGCAATGAGAAATGGTGTTGACTGAGCAGCATGCATTGTACTTAACAATCCTATGAGAGCGATTTGCGAGATAAGCAGTGCAATTATAATGCGTCCATGGACATCAGGCCAGAATGCTGCAGCACTCTCATACTCTTGATTGTAAACATTAATGATCTACATTTTCAAGGGGAAAAAAAAAATCAGACACAAGCGAAGATTCATTTACCACCGTAAGGAATATTCCATATCCAAGTTCTTTACCTGATGACGGAAGACAACATAAGCTAGCCCGAAGAAAACTATAATGAAAGGAAGCAGAACAGGTGTGATAGTAGCATAAACCATGCCAAGTAGAAAATACAGTTGTATACGAGGTTCCCCAGTGTTGAAGCCCAAACTTCCCGGATCCATTGCCTCCTCCCTATCCTTTTCCGTTTTCACCAACAAAAAATTCTTCAAGTGATAAATTATAAGTGGTTTCAGCATCAAAATCTCTGCTGCTATTCCAGCCCATCCATCAACCATGATGTAAGTAATGAAAAAAGTTGCTCTCATTGGTACGGCTACACCAATTGTCTTAGGAATTCTGCAAATAAGGAAAAAAGATGAAAAAAGCTGTCTATGTCGTAATGAAGCAAATTTCAACACCAAAAACAGAACAGAACAGTAAAAGCAACCCATACTGATGCGGCTAAATATATACAACTCCATCACAAATAATATACATTCCAACTTTTGAAAGGTATGGTAGAAAAAATTGTAAACTTGAAAGTTCATCCAAGATTCAGGTCCATAAAAGAATTTCCTAATGATTCCACAAGAAATATCTTCATCCAGTGCAAATTAAATTCTTAAAAATCTAGCATATGGTTTCTGCTAAACAATATAAGTCACCGGCCAAATATCTAGAAATCTGCAATTTAGAAACCCATTCTATGCATAAAATTGTAATTACCCAATTAAACTGAAACTGATATACTCTGTCTAACTGCTAGATGCTTTTCCTTGTAAATGTATCCAATTTGATGGAGAAACCAAACTTAATACCATTAGAACCAGTCAACTGAGAATCTATACCAAAAGCACTATTATCTGACACTAAGCATGCAAGGATGCATAAAAAGCAATTGCATCACTTGAAGCAGATATACAAAGATGAAAATGGAATACATACTCATTTGCTGATTGCTTAATAAATGTGTTTAGCTGTTCCAGTGCACTGCCAGCAATTACGCTGCCAAGGAATACATTCACTAAATTGAAAAGATAGTATCTAGTTGCTGATCTCCTCTCTAAAGATGATATTGATGTAAATCCTTCAAACTTGGACATAATCATCAATATAGTTGGCAGAAAAATGAGAAAGAGCTTCAATACAATACCAGGCAGAAAACCTTGGATTACCGATTTTATAAATTTTCTGCAAAGACAAAAGGGAAAATCAATGGTTATAGTAATGCAATCTAAATAATGACTCAAGACTTGAAACTAAAAAGGAACTCACATTTCAATTAGGGGCCTTAGGAATGGTGCTGCTTTCTCAAGGCCCTCAATGCTGGCCAGAGCTTGTACAGATGCAATTGGAATCATGAAAAAGAAAGTCAGGAAAAAGAATGCCACAGCCATGATCAGCCTCCTAACTGCTAGTGAGACATATGGAATTGCCAGGTTTTGCCAAAATACATCACGTGGCTCGGATGCCCACTCTGTTAACCACAAAGTTGGATTCCTGGATTGTTGGGTTTGAGCACAAACAGCTGCGCCCCACCGAGATTTAAAGGAAACAAATGCTGCTGGCATTATGCATCTAGGATCTTTCTTAACCCTCTCTCTCTCTTCAGCTATCTGAATATGAAAATGAGCAACACACATCATCACATTTTGAAAGACAAACACGTGGAGGAAGACAAAATGCAATAATGCAGGGCAACTCATTTTTCATATAAGATCATCTAATACAGCAAAGACAGATATTGCTTCTTGGGGCGGAAGCTGTTTCTAATTTTGAAAGCTTAGGCTCAATAAACTAAGCCAGTCTAGAAAATGACTAAGGCTTGGATGCACCACATAAGAACAGGCTTAAATCTTATGAAAAAGTAATAGCAAACAATCTCAAAAGATTGTGCAAGTTGAAAAAGAAATACTTACTTCCTTGGATAACTTCTCAATTTCAGATATGTGATGATCAATTGCATCCACTTTTTCACCCCGGAGCCCAAGAAAACCAGTCTGGTAGAGAGAATATGCTTATCAAGAAATAGGAAATTTAAAGCAAAGCTGAACATCGCAAAGAGGCCAGCTCTCAAAGCAATGAAAGACTGCAGTAAGTTACCTTCATAAAAGGCCTTTTTGCACTATTTCTGGAATACTTCAGTTGGTAATAGTCAAGCCAATTCTGCTTACTTTTCCTCTTCTTCACCAATTTAGCAAGTTTGTTCGCATTGCATACCACCTGCATATATTTTCAAGGAGAACCAGATCATAAAATGAACTCCATAAAAAGCCTTCTTCATAAATCATAAATGAGTTTTATAATAGACATCTTTGGATGGGAAGTATGTGCAGTAGAATATTGACAAACTAGAAGAAGCCATTATCATTATTATTATAATAAATGCAAAAGGAACACACCTGATGTGTAAGATAGGTATCCGGGTGATTGACCAGGAAGAAATGCTCCACAGACTCACTAACAGATTCATCTGGATCTGGTGGTACATTCCTAACAAGCACCTACAACAATCAAACTCCATTCAGAAGCATTTTAAATAAAAAACCTCAATCCAAAAATATTACTCAAGCTTGAAGCACTAGCATCTCAATCCAAATCTTCTTTAAAAGGAAAAGAGCCCTCAGAGATTTGTAATTTAATTAACTTTCAGCAGAAGAATACATTTATATTCGTTTAACTGCAGTAGTTCAGCTAAACCACAATTGGAAACCAGAATACCTATCAAATGATATCATTAACCCTCAAGATCAGTATAATCATTAGCGAAATTCACCTTCCAAAAATGTTTCTATGCTCAAATAAAACAAAATAATATAAAGGAAATCCCTAACCTCTTCAAAGTATATGGCAAATTGCAAATTCAACATAGATAAACAACATTTTAAGGCCTAAAATATTCAATAAATGAGAAGTTGTTCCCACTTCTCTCAAGAACTTCACTTATGTCAATGAGATTCAAGTCAATGCTAACAAACTTAAAATGTTAAACAAAGAATTTCCAGAACGAAAAACCAATAGACAAGAAATCAAATCTCCTTGAATTTATGATGAAGAACAAAGATTACACGGAAAATAATACTAATAATAAAAGTATATATATATAATTAATTTTGATAATAATGAAAAGACTGATCTTACAGTAAATTGGTCTGGCCGGCGTTTTTCTGATGCAAGAAATTGCAACCGCATAGCAGCAACTGTCTCATACTCCTTTAGCAACACATAGAATGTCCAGAAGGTAAAGGCATACGCCATTACGATATGAGTCCAAAGCCTACAACACAGGATTAAATATTATTCCACTGTAATGTTCAGTTACTTAGAAAAGAAAGAAAAAAGGGAAAAAAATTGTTATAACACTAGAATGAGTTTATCTGAATCACAGATTAAGATAAAAGAAGTTGGCAACGACAGAAAATCTCCTACCTATCTGATCTAACTGGAATGTTTGAAATCGAGAGCTTATCAATGTTACTTGAAGTTACATTCTTCAGCTGCAATTCCAATGTTTTATTCGTGTAATTAACGGGCACTAAGACTGCCCATGCAAGGAACGCGATAGGGACAAAAATCTTTAACCTGCAGGCAAAATAACAGGAGAGCAATCAGAACAAGACAACAGAAGAAGATGAAAAATGATAAGGTGGTTCCATGTCTTCACAGCATAGAAACAAGCTTGACCAGCAGAGAACCTCAAAGGTGAATAATTTGCCTAACATTAGCTAACGCATTTCATCAAAATTC